GCCCAAACGGCTGCGGGCAGGGAAGAGGGAAGGATACTTGCTGGCCTGCCGATCACCCGTAAAAAAAACTATGTCGTGACCAAGTGTCACGAGATAGTTTTTTTTACGGGGCCACACTGCTCCTATACACTGTCCGAGTTGGATCGAACTGGCATGGATGGTCACTGGCACTTAGCACTGCTAAGTGCCAGTGACCATCCATGACAGGCCGCAGGCCGATCCCCCCGTTCCCGCCGCCGCCCCCTCCTCCCTCATTTCCTCGACCCCCCGCGGCGGGCGGTGGCGGCGGCGCCTCCGATCGCCGCGGAGGTCGCCGCGCGCCGTGGGCGGGCAGGGGGACGCCACCCCCGCGCGGCCCAGTGCTCGGGCCAGCGGCGCGGGGGGGGGGGGGGGCGAGCGCGGGGGTTCGGCCCCCCCCTCATCTTCCCCCCCCTCCCCCTTCTCCTCTCCCTCTCCTCTCTCTTCCTCCTCTCTCGCTCCTCTCCTCTCCTCCTCTCCTCTCCTCTCCTCTCCTCCCTTCTACTCTCTCCTCTCTCCTCTCTCCTCTCGTTGTTTATCCCCTCCTCCCCCCTCCTCGCCTTTCCTCTCCTCTCATCTCCTCTCCTCCCCCGTCCTCCCCTCCCGTGTCCTCTCTTCTCGTCTCCTCCCCTCCCCTCCTTAGCCCCCTCCCCTCCCGCGCCCTCCTCTCCTCTCCTCTCCAATTCTCGCCTCTCTCCTCTCCTCATCTCCTCCTCCTCCTCCTCCTCCTCCTCCTCCCTCCTCCTCCTCATCCTCCTCGTCCTCCTCCTCTTCCCCTCTCCTCTTCTCTCCTCCTCTTCTCCCTTTTTCTTCCCTCTCCTCCGCCTGCTCCCGTCCTGCCCGTCCTCCTCCTCCTCCTCCTCTCCTCCTCCTCCTCCTCCGATTCCCCTCTCCTCTCCTCTCCATTCCCTCTCCTCTCCTCTCTCTCCTCCCTCTCCCTCCTCTCCTCTCCTCCGCCGCCGCTCGGGCCAGCGGCGCGGCGCGGGGCGAGCGCGAGCGCGGGGGGTCCTCCCCCTCCCCTCCTCTCCCCCTCCCCTCCTCTCTCCCCCTCCTCTCCCCTCCCCCTCTCCCCTCTCCTCTCCTCTTCCCCTCCTCGTTCCTCGCCTCCCCTCTCCTCTCTCCCCTCTCCTCTCTTCTCTCTCCTCTGTCCTTTCCCCTCCCTCCCCTCTCTTCACTTCTCCCCTCTTCCCCCCTTCCTCTCCCCTCCTCTCCCCTCTCCCCTCTCCCCTCTCCCCTCCTCTCCTCCCCTGTCCTCCACTCCCATCCCCTCTCTCCTCGGCGCGGCCCTGGCGGCCCTGTCCTCTGCTCGTCTCCTCTCCTCTTTCCTCTCCTCTCCTCTCCTCTCCTCTCCTCCTCTCCTCTCCTCTCCTCTCCTCTCCTCTCCTCTCCTCTCCTCATCTCCTTCCTTTTCGGCGCGGGGGGGGCGGGCGCGGCGGGCGGGGGGGCCGAAAAAGAAGGGGAAGGGGCGGCGGAGGGGCGGGCGGGAGCGGCGGGGTGGGCGGAGGCGGCGGAGGATGATTTGAGGGGTGTCCCAGGGAAATAGTGAGGAACGCGGGTTTTAACACCCCCGGGTGCCCGGCGTGCTTTTGGCGCTCGGCCCGCGCGCCACGCGGCTTCCCCCGGCCGCCGCGCCGCCGCCGGCATCACGTCCTCCGCCGCCGGGCGGCGGACCGACACGTCGATCCAGTGCCGACCCGCCCCGTCGTTATATTCGACGTCCAGGATCGCACGCTCGACGAGGTCCGCGCCCGGCAGGTCCGTCGGGCGCCGGTTGCGGACGCGGTCCCAGGCCGGCACCCGCTGCTCCGTCAGCGCCTCTTGGTGCAGCCAGCGCTGGACCAGGCCAGCCGCTGCGTGCTCGAGGTTGGCGCGGCGGCGCTCTGCCCCGCCCCCCAGTGCGCAGGTGGCGGCGTGCGCGCCCAATTGCTCGTCCAGCGGCTGGCCGCAGGGCGCGCCTCGGGCCCCTTGGGCGGCCGGGCGGTTCTGGCAGGTGCGCGCGGCCGTCTGCATCTCGGCCAGCGAGCACTCAGGCCTGGGCAGGTGCGCGCGGGCGCGAAGCCCCGTGGCCCAGAGCGCGTCCTCCATCGAACAGGCGGGGTCGGTCGGGTAACCGAGGAAGCACGCGGCCCCTGGCCCTCCGGCCCCCAGGAGCGCCGCCCGCTCGCGGCTGTGCATAGGCTGCCTCAGGGCAGCGTGGGTTTTCTGTTGCACAGCTTGCACGAGAGTGCTCTGCTTCGCGGGGTGCTGCAGGGCGTCCAGTAGGGAAGCGCCTGGTGCGGGGTCCGCGCACTGGAGGGACAGCTCCGTCCGCGCGTCGGAGAGATCCAGGAGCTCGAGCACGGAGTCGGTGCCGAGGTCTGCGGCCACGCTGGACACGCACGCTGTCCAGCCCGCCCAGAAGGTCTCAGAAGGCCGCGGCTCGTCGCGCAGTGGCCCACTGCAGCCCTGCGCCAGAGAGCTTGAAGGGCAGGCCGAGGATCTCCCGCGCGGCGGCGTCCAGGGGCCGCCCGGCGAGCTCCTCCCAGTAGCCCGCCAGAGTAGCGTCGCAGCGAGCCGCGTCCGCCTCGCCAGCCAGCTGCGCGCGCAAGACGCGCTGGCTCGCGGCGCCCGCGTAGGTCCGCAGCAAGCTCCCAGTCGCTCGCAGCGAGAGCCCGTGCTCCCCGACCGTGCGCTTTCCCAGCGGCCGGAGGGCGTTCCAGAGCTGCGTCGGACGCCCGGCCGCATGCTCGAGGCCAAGGGCGCGTCCGCCACGTCGCCCCGCGCCCGCAGGTGCGTGCCGAGCACGCACGGGGAGCGCGGGCATGAAATGCGCTTGGAATTCCGGGGGCACGGCCTGCGCCCCGGACGGAGACCACACCTGCGTCTTGCTGGCGTTGAGCTCCAACCCGAGGGGTCCCAGGAGCTCTCCCGAGCGGTGGAGGGCGGCCGTGGCAAGCTGCGCCGGGAGCACCAGATAGGTGTCGTCCAGGCAAGAGTAGAGTCTTACGTCTGCAGACGTAAGACTCTACTCTTACCTGGCGCCAATACCCATGGGTCCTGGCGCGAGAGCTCTTCCAGCAGCTGGGAGAGCGCCTCTCTCTGGCCGACTGCGGAGGCAGCTGGCGCCAGGGGGTCTCCCTGGTCAAAGCCGAGGGTGCTCTCGACCTCCTCGAAACTGCCCGCTGCGTCCCGCCAGAGGTGTTGAGCAGACCCGGAGTACCACTTGTCCAGCACCCACGCGATCTCTGGCACGTGGACAGCCATGGCCCGAATGGCTGGGTCTCGCCGCAAGCGCTGGAAGGCCGCCTTGATGTCCATCTTGATGACCGCCATGCCCGGGTGAGCGTCTGACTGGGTCTGCAGCTGCTTGACCACCAGGTCGGTCCCGCACTTCCGCCCGACCCCGTACTGGTGTGGCCCCGCCGCCTGCCGGAGCCTCCCTTTTTTGACCCGGGCCAGCGCGCGCATCCCCGGCCTCCTCAAGCTGGCCCCCACAAGCAAAGGGCGGACATCGTCGTTCTCCTTGTCCAGGGCCACCAACTCGCCCACCCGGAGGGCTTGGAGCACCGGCGCCGGCACCTCCCCGAAGGTCAGCTTCGTGACCGCCTGGGCCAGCAGAGTGAGCGCCTCTGGGTCGTCCGCCGCCGTGGCGAGGTGCTCCAGGCGGGCTCCGAACAAGCCTGGAGCGGTCAGCCGGGCAGGCTCGCGGAGGAGTTTGCTGACCTCCTCCTGCACCTCGTCCCACAGGTCTGGGTCGGGAGCGGCCCCGCGAGGACCGGCGGGCTGGGCCAACTGCCCCCGGGGCGGGCGGGAAGGAAGCCCGCAGTTTTTCCAGCGTGCTGCGGCTGCGCGGAGCAAGCGGGGTGCCCCGCGCGGCCCCGAGCGCCCGCCCCTCTTCGCCAGCTGCGGCAAGGGTGTGGACCCTCCGCGCCCTTCTCTCCTGCCCGTCCGCTTGGTCCCGCCCTTCGGCTTTGGCCAGGGGCGTGGACCGTCCAGCAGCGTCTCCCCACAGCGCGCTCCACTGCCCTCACCACCACCACGCCATGCGCTCCTCGAGAGCCTCGGCGTTGGTGGCCTGGCCGGCCGGCTGCGCCACGAACGGCGTGTCGAAGAGGAGCAGCGCCTTCCACTCCTGCTCAGAGTCTCCTCTCCTGGTCGCCGCCGCCAGCACCTCCAGCAGCTTGAGGCGGGCGGTCACGAAGGCGCCCCGGAAGCGATCCGGCACCTGCGCGAATGTCGGGGTGCCGATGCGCACGGCCGCATGCCACGAGAGGCGCTCCCACCACCCACGGTTGGGGAGCGCGTCGGTGTCCCAGTCCTGGTGGAGCGGGGGCGGCAACTGGTCAACTGGCGCTGCCCCCCCTGCCTGTTGCTGCAGGCGCGGCGTCGGCGTCCGGGCCAAGGCCGCCCGCGCAGCGTCCACATGCTCCTCGGTGGCGTGGCCAGTCATGGAAAGGTTGGCTGCATGGCCCACGCTCGGCGCTGCACATGATACACACTTCCATCTTCCCCTATCTCTGCTGCCCCATGGAGCCAGGCGCAGCTCGCCACTCTCGAACGGTGCGGCGCAACCCCTGCACGAGGCGGGGCGGGTTACAGCTGGCTGCACGCCGACCGCCCAGCGCTGCTCCAGCCGCCGCCGCTGGCGCGGCCCCCCCGCCGGCGGCATTTCTTCGTCGAACTCCTCCCCCTCCTCGACGTCAGTTTCCATGGCCCAGGAGTGGGGGGAGGAAGGTGCGGGGAAGGGGGGATGAAGTGAACGAGGGAGGGAGGACCGGCCGGGCAACGGCTGCGCGCGACTTGATCCTCCTCCTCCTCCTCCTCCTCCTCCTCCTCCTCCCCCTCCGCCTCCTCCTCCTCCGCCTCCTCCTCCTCCTCCTCCTCCTCCTCCCCCTCCGCCTCCTCCTCCTCCGCCTCCTCCTCCTCCTCCTCCTGTGGTCTCCGGAGAGCGCTGCTGGCCGGCCGAGCGGGTAGAGGGCCGCACGCTCGAGGGGACGGGGGTCCTGCAGCACGCGCGGCAGGAGGCCCAGGGCGTCCGAGTGCCGCCGGAGCTCCTCGAGGAGCTCCGCGGCGGTGGGGGAGAGCGGGGTCTGCTGTGGCCGCAGCGTCGCCTGCCCACGGCCCCCTTCTGTCCTCTCCAAGAGCTCCCCACTTCGCGCTGTTGGCGCTGCACGAAGCGCGAAAAGCTTCGCGCTCTCGCGCCGCCTCCCAGGGGAGAAAGGGAGGATGAGGAGGCATCGGAGCCGAACCGCGAAGCGCGAATAACTTCGCACCCTCGAGGGCGCCCTTGCCTCTCCCCCTTCTCGGGAGTTCGCCCACGGGAAGCAGCCAACGTGCGGGGGATAGGAGGGCACCTCTCGAGTGCTTCTCGGGCCCGCGGTGGCAGCTCGGGGGCGGTGCAGGGCCCCGTCCAGGGCTGCTTCTCTGTATTCCTCGCTCCCCCTATGCTTATTGCACCCCCGCTGCCGTCCGCCCGACCATCCTCGGGTCGGGCGAAAGGGGGGGATAGCAAAGGGGGGGTTTGAGAATCAGCTCACGTAGCTGATTTTCCCGGCGCCTCCCGGCGCTGGGAGCGGCCATGTATCAAGGAATTGGCCCCTCGGTGAGGCCGAAACCAGCTGCATGCAGCAAATTTCGTAACCCCCCCTTTCCCAATCCCCCCCTTTCGCCCGACCCGACATCCTGCTGTCCCTACTCCAGCGACGCCGGCGCCCAACACGGGTCGGGCACCTGTGGAACGCACAAAGAGAAGGGACAACCGGGACGTTGTCCCGATCCACTCCACCGCCTCCTCGGCTTCCTGGGCGCCGCTGTTTCGCTGCCATGCTGGCCCGTCCATCCTCTTCTGTCCCCCACCCCCACGCACCTCGTCTCCTCCCGCCGTGCCCTCCCCATTCCTCCCTGGCATCGCTCCTCCTTCGTCCATCATCCCTGCCTCCCCCATTACCAGGGAACATACAGGGTCCGCTCCCTTGGTAACCATTCGGCCTGGATTTTGCTCAACTGATCCTTCCGTCCCTCCCCCGTCCCTCCCCCCTCCATCCTGCTTTCACTCGTTCGCCCGCTCGCTGACTTACTCAACCCTCCTTCTCCCTATCGTCGTCGTCGCTTCCTCCCCCTCCTCCGTCCATGCCTCCGCGTCAGCATCCTCGTCCTTGTCTTCGTCGTCCTGATGGGTTTCCTCTCTCCTTCTTGTCCGTCGTCTTTTTTGCTCATGTAATGGGTAACTCCTCCCTGTCGCACCCCAAGAAATGTCGGTAGGAAGGGCCGGGCGTTTCGCCTGGGACGTCCTTACAATTTCTGATTCTAAAGCTCGACATTTCCAACATATTCATTTAGGATGGAAGGCGTGTCATTTTCAAAAAAAATAGCTCTCGCCTTAGCGCCGCGCGCATTCGTCTCAACATTTTGCAGCAGCTTCGAGAATGTAGGGCGTGTCGTTTCAAAATGTGGTTATCGCTTAGCGCCGCGCGCACTCGCTTTGAAAGTTCTCAGCCCTTTCAAGAATGGAGGCCAATTTATTTTCAACATGTGGTTCAAGCGTGGCGCCACGCGCACTCGTCTTACGACATTATGGCTGTTTCACGTCCTCGGAAACGTTTTCATGGCATATTCAAGATTTGCAGGACGCAACCGTCACGTTGATTCGCGGCGCTGAAATCATAATGAATGCGTTTTGCACGATTGACCGTTGTCCGACTGTTGTCTTTCAATGGGGCGCTTCCCACGATGAGCATGAAATCTTGCAGGGACATGAGGTCAAAGAGTTTGGAAAGAAGGTTGAATCCAGCATCGCTGACACGTCTTATGTTTACACTGGTCCCTACTCCTGCTTCGCCTCCCCTGGCTGCCCCACCTCCTCCGCTTCCATGGACGGCTGGGCGGCGCGACGCCGCCCTGGCAAGGCCAGGCGAAGCGGGATACCCAAGGACACTCAAACATCTTCTGGGCCGGGTAACCACCTTTTGCTGGGCTGGGGAGCCGCGAACGCTCAGGGATGAAAAGGGGATCCTTGGGGCCTGACGGCCGGGGTGTGCAGGGCTGGCAGGTGGGCGACTCAGAGGCACAACAACCCCTGCTTGCCGGGTGGGGAAAGTCCACCCGCCTGCCGCCTGCCCGCCGTCCATCCTGCTGCATCCTCTTGTCAGCCACGATGGCGCCCTCAATCCGAATCAGCGGAGGTCCGCGCCCCTCCTCCTCGCCCTCCACCCTCCCATTCGTCCTCCGAGCCTCCGCTCTTTTTTCCTGGACCTCCTTTGTTTTATTTCTGGCGCGGCGCAAGCAGCCCAAACTGCAGATGTTTGTGCTCGGGAACTCAAAGCAGAGCCTGGCCACTTGCCTCGAAGCTTCGTCGCGGGCGACGGCTTCGGCACCAAATGCACTGCGCAGCGGGTGAAGAAACGCATCGTGGATCATGACTGACTGAAACCTATTACCGTCAGCTGACCCACAAGCCCACAACATTGATCTCCTCTACCTCCATCATTCCTTCCAGATTATCTCATTGGTTCTCGTCGACATTCGTGATCAAGTCTCCTCCTGATCAGCCTGATATAGAGTTATACGAGTTGCTCCCCGAAGGCGACTCTTAAGACAACTATTGGGCGACTTGTCGTTATAGGCGTCCGTGCACATCTGGCTGGGCGAGGGTTCCTCAGCAAAGGAAGTCGTGCAGAGCCAGGCCCCCTGGGGAGGATTTCATTTGTCGAGGGGGTCCGCAAGCGCGCGGGCATGGGGCGCCAGCCGAACCTGGGATAGAGATGAGCGAACATCGCAAACTGCAAAATCTCTAGCGCGGGGGCGGTCCGCGCAGGGCCCGGCGCACTGTAGGGAGATATGGTCGAAGTCTCCTTTCGCATCAACTACAGGATCCCGCCTGACCTAAGGAACGATTAATAAGGAGCGAGGCCCCTTTTGCTCCAAGTAAGCCTACGAAGTCCGAAGGAACACCAGAGGGGGCTCGCCGCCCAAAAGGTAGCGGAACGCATGCATACCAAAGGAACGACCGAGCCCCCTTTTGAAAAGTAAATGTTCCTTCGCCAGGGCGGACCCTGCATGGACAAAACCTGAACCGGTTGCTGCCAATTGGCGGACGGGAGACTCCCCCCAAAAAACAAAAAGACTCGACGGTCAGCTTCCATCTACTCGCGCACGTCAAAGATCTGCGCACGTTGGGCGGGACCAGAACGCAAAGGACAACGGGCTGCGGCAATGAAGAGGCAAAGAGACACACGCGCTGCCGTCGACATGCAGCCTGCTTTCTCGGGCCATCAATTGCCCTTGTGCAGCCGCGGTGCGACAAATCGATATCTCCTCGCGGGCGAGGGAGGGGTCGGTCAGTTCTGATTTCCCGGGCTTGCCCGCGTGTATAATCGCGACGCTGGTTCCCGAGAGAATGTCTCCTGGCCCGCGGCGATTCGACCCGCGCATTGAGTCGGGCGCCCCCCCAACGCACTCAGATCCCTGTTCTTTCCTGTTCCCCGAATGTAAGCGCTCGCACACGGCGGGCGTCGATGGCGCCGACGCGGGGCCTTGGCCCGAAACGATGAGATCGTCTACCCTGGTCATAGCTGGGGTTTCTCGGCAGTAGACAGAATTGCGGTTGCAGGGCAGGCGGGGCCCGAAGGGAATCTTCGCGAAACCTGCGGCGCTATGCCACTCAGCCAGGTCCATTCGCCACCGTGGGGGCATCGTTCAAACCGCGGCAAGGGGCGAGAAATTCGTTCAACTGCCTGGCGCCTTAAACGAGAACCTGACGTCGTTCCGCGGACATCTTGTCGCTCCGCCAACGCGCGCGAGTGCTCTCGAGCGAAAATTACACCTCAGAAAACCCACTCAGTGGATGATTCGGAAATTTTGAAAATTGACACTATGGGTCTTGAGATCGATTGTGAGATCGACCATGAGATCAATAGTGTAATCGCAAGTGAGGACGATCGTAACGTCGATCGTGAGACCGAATGTGAAATCGACTCAATGAGATCGATCGTGGGATCGATCGCGAGATCGTTCATGCGATCTCTAGTGAGATCGCTTGTGTGATTGATAGTGATATCGATGGTGAGATCGATGGTGAGATCGATCGAGGAGTCGATAATGAGATCGATGGTGAGACCGATCGATAAGAAAGTCGACAAAGAACCGGGGAACCTCGCCGTCCTCCGAAATCGGCCCGGAACCCGGAACCGTGAACTTGGGAACCCAGCGTGCGATAAACATCGGCGGGGCACTTTCGCCAGATCCTTCAACATGCGCGAGGACCCCTTCAGTGCAAGCGCTGATTGGGGAACATCCGCGAGGACCCCTTCAGTGCAAGCACTAACCGGGGAACGTTGAATGATATCCGGATAATGAACTCGACATTGAGATCGGTAGCGAAATCGATAATTAACCATCGGCCTGGAACCAATGATCAGGAACCCGGGAACCCGGAACCAATGAGATCCGTATAATGAACTCGATAATGAGATGGGTAATGAACCACCAGCCCGGAACCAATGACCAAGAACCCGTGAACCGGGAACAGGGGACCCGGGAACCCAGCGCGCCACCAAAATCGGCGAGGCACTCTCGCCAAATCCTTCAACATCCGCGAGGGCACCTTCACGACGCCCGCCAAATACAAGCACCACTTCGCTGAGCCGACGCGACTGGGGGGCCGAGAGCGGCCGCGGCATTCTCCGACCGGGGGGCGGAGGCGCGAACGGACAAACATTCCCCGTCGGGGCCCTGCCGCCCGCGGACGCACCGCCGCGTTTCCGCCCTCGGGGGGCCCGCGCCGCCCCGGGGCCTGGGCCTCCGGACCGCTGCTGGACAAGGCCCACGCGGAGATGCGGCGGCGAGCCAGCCTTGACTCTCGCGCGGACAACTTGCGCGAGCCCCCCGCTCGGCGCGATCCGGCAAGGCGAACTCATCGCGGCCCTGAGCGGAGAAATGTCTCGAGAAGACGTCGGGGCCCCCGGGCCGCGGGGGCGCGCCGCGGACCGCGGCGGCCAAACCAAGGACATGGTCGGCAACTCGGCTCGAGGCAGTCGACCCGGGCCCAGAGCGGAATGCAATATTAAAATGCGGAACATCGAAACGCGCTCAATACACCTGACTGGGCGGCGGGCAAGTGCAGCGCGGAAGCTGTCGGTCGCAACGCGCGTGCCAGCGGCTGCGATGTTGTGCGAAGGGGCTGAGTTCAGCTGCGTTGTGCCGCGGTGAACTGCGCTGTGCCCTGTGTCGTCGTGGGTCGCGTCGCCTTTGGCATCCTAGCCCTGGCCGGGCTAATGAGGGCCCTGATCTCGGGCTGCATGAGCGCATGGGTCGCGCGCGCATCGCGGGAGATTGCTGGATGACGGGGGGCGGGGAGCGGGGTGGGGCGGGGCGGGGGGGGGCAGGGGCGCGCGCGAAGGGTTGCGCTCTGAACGCTTAGGGGGCCAATATTTTGCGGGCGATGCTCGGGCGCCGAAAGGCCGCCGCGGCCGCCGATGTCCCCGCGAGCGGGGCCAGGCTGACAAATTCCACGCCACGGGCCGTAACGCTCGCGAAAAGGCGCCAAGCTGCACTCGATTCCCAGGGCCGACCTCGCCCTCCGCAAGAAACTCCCCATCTTCCATCGGGGCAACATTCCAGTCACGCGCTACCAATGCCAAGCGGTGATCTGCAGCGGGCGGCGCATCCATAATCTTCTTCCCGTGCAACTCATACACGCGAATATGATCGCGCGCTTCAGGCGCATGCGCATTTGCAATCGCGAGGTCCCCCACAGGCCCCAAGCAACGCAGCATGATAACCCCCCTTCCACCGCCTCAACATAAACCTCTTTCGGGAACGAAGCGACAAGAGTCCCGGTGGCAAAGGTGGCAACTCCTCCAGCTGCCCTATCTTTCTTGGAACGCCCATGATGCACCTGTGTGCATTTCGTGAACTAACATGGCCAACTCGCCAGCAAGGGCGGGACATTGCGGCGCTGCGTCAATGGACATACAAGCATCGCCATCCCCCAGGAGATGGGGGCCCAGCTCGGCTCGCAGACGCCAAAGCCTCAGAACGAATCCAGTCGAGCCCCCTCCTTCAAGACAGCTTTTGCGCTCGCCGAGAGGGGCGAAACGAGACGCGTGCGCTTCGTCCTCGATCTCGGCCAAACCTGCGGCGCCCACCAACGCGTTCGCACTTCCAGCCGAAGGGCCATCGGCAACAATCGAGATCTTCACGACAGGAACAAGAATGGTACCCTTGGTCACATAAGTCGACCAACCGAGCCCTGTCGATCAGACGCGCTCTTGACCGAAGATCCGCGCCGCCTGCCTCGCCTTCCCCAGATAGCGGAACAACTTGCGAGACGACTGAGGGAAGTCGCGGCGGGCGCGGAATTCGAAATCCACCCCGCCCTGAGGATCAGGAAAGGTAAGCGGCCCCTCAGACATGCACTTCGCGCGGAAGGTAGAAGCCACGAGCGCCCAGGATCTCGACCAACGCATTCTTGCAACAACTGAAAGCCTTCATCTGGATGCACGGGGCGTCGCTGGCCAGCGCGCTGTTGTCCGCGATCGGGGCGACAGCCTGGCGAAAAACAGCTTCCAGAAGTGGGCGACGGAAATCCCAGGACTGCAAGACGAGAAAGGTTGCCAACGCCACCTAGCTCGATGCGGCGCCGAATCTGCCGCCCTGTATGCTCGCCATCACCAGGAGTTGCAGTTCCAACCGCGGGGGCGCCCGCGCCTCCGATCTGCGCCTCCCTCAACGCCGCAAGCTCCTCCTTCGTCGCACCGATGGCCCCATCACTTCCTTCCTCATCTCCTTCTCAGCAATCTCGCGATCATGAATGGTCTGCAAAAGGGCCTGTTCCTGGATAGCACGAATATTTGCGATGTTGTCCACGGTCTACTTCGCGAGATCTGCAGGAGCTGCTCGTGAATTTGATGATTCTGCTCAGCCTGCAACGCTTGGTTGGCCCTCGAAATCCGAAATTTGCGGGGTAATCTCAATCAAACTGCTGGGTGAGCGAATCCACATTGCGCGAAAGCGGCAATCCGGTTGGAGGCGATCGTGCTCGTGCCTGGAGAAGGCGGACTGTCGGACCAGCCCGCGCTCGCCTCGTTCCTGACTGGACTGATGTGTACGTTTTACGTTGCCCCCATCGCACTTCAGGACCACATCCCAGGCATGATTTCGAGCACCCAGAAAAGTATCGAAGTAGTGTCGACCGAGCATCGCCTCCGAATGGTGAACACCCTCCAATTTCGGTACTATCTTGGTGCTCGAAATTCTTTCTGGTGGTCAAGGCCAAAGTAGGTCGGAACATCATGTGGGCACTCGGGATGTACCATTCCATGGCATGGCTTGGCGCATCTCCGCCATGGCGGGAGGCGAGACGGGAACGGGAGCAAGGAGAAGCGGCCGCCGAGGGCCAGACGGCACGGCCGCGGCCCGCCCTTGGCCGCCAGGCTCTTCGAGAGAGGTTGGGCAAATAAGGAGCAGGCCCCATGAGCCAAAATGGCCACGGATGGCGAGAATGATGATGATGCTGCTGATGATGATGATGGTGATGATGATGATGATGGTGGTGATGATGATGACGATGGTGATAGTGATGGTGATGATGACGATGGTGATGATGATGATGATGATGATGATGATGATGATGGTGGCGATGATAACGGTGATGTGGATGACGATGGCGATGATGAAGATGACGGCGACGCCGAGGACGACGATTGTGACTATGATGATGGTGGTGATGGTGGTGATGGTGGTGATGGTGATGGTGGTTGGTAGTGATAATGATGATGGTGGTGGTGACTGTGGTGATGATGGTAACGATGGTGATGGCGGTGGGGCTGGTGATGATGATGGTGGTGTTGATGGCGGCGACTATAAATAATAAGGATAATAATGTTATCAATAATGATGACATTAATAACAACGGTTGTAATGATGACTGGGGATGATGAAGGTGATGGTGCTGATGGTGATGAGGATGGCGATAACGACGACGATGGTGATGATGGTGATGATGGTGATGGTGATGGTGATGCTGCTACTGGTGATGATGGTGGTGTGAGGGTGATGATGGTGGTGAGGATGAGGATGGCCGTGAGGAGGATGAGGTTGATGGTGATGATGGCAACGGACGAGGACAAGCGGAGAGCAGCAGGCTCGACGGGTCAGGACCCGAGCCCTCCGAGGCCGCGAGAGCTGCGCGCCGCCCCCCCCCTGGCCGACCGCGGGTGGCGCAGCGAGGCCCCCGGCCGAGGCGTCGCGAGCGTCCCGCAGGGCGCCTCTCGGGGCGCGGCATGGCGACGGCGACGGGCAGCTCTATCCCCAACCCCACCTCTGCCTTTCTCGCCGCGGCGGCGTCTCGCCGCGCCAGGGCGCGGAGGGCCGCGGCACGGTCCGCGCGGGCCGCGCTAGAACGGCGGCCCCGGGGATCCTCGGCCCCTGGACAGGAGAAGACGAACAAACCCCACCTCTCCTCATGCCCCTCCTCTCCTCTTCTTCCTCATCCTTGTCATCCTTGTCGCCATCATCATCATCATCATCATCATCATCATCATCATCATCATCATCATCATCATCATCATCATCATCATCATCATCATCCTCATCCTCCTCCTCCTCCTCATCCTCCTCCTCCTCCTCCTCCTCGTCGTCGTCGTCGTCATCATAGTTTTCTTTGGCATCATCCATCTTCATACTCGTTACCACAATCATTATCATCGCCAGGTCGGCACACCTATCACACGCTTCGTGGCCACAAAGGGAGCTCCACCGAAGGCCCCAGTGGCTGCGTTCACATGGTGACCCGCCACATTTCGGCAAACCCCTCACACGCTGCGTGGCCCCGCAAGAAGCTCTTTGGGCACACCGCTCACACGTTCTGTTGCCACATAGGGAGCTCCACCGAGAACGCCCGCACGCTCCGTGGCCCTATGGGGAACTCCTCCGAAGGACCGAGCGGCAACGTCCACCATGCGTACCCGCACCCAAGTCCGCACACCCCACACAAGCTTCGTGGCCCCATAGGGAGCTCCACCGAAGTCGCCAGTGGTTGGATTCACGTGGTGACCCGCCCCATGTCGGCACACCTCTCACACGTTTCGTGGCCCATAAGGAGCTGCACCGAAAGCGATAGTGGTTTGGTTCGCATGGTTACCCGACCCACTTCGGCACACCCCTCACACGTTTCGTGGCCCCACAGGGAGCTGCACCAGAGGCCCAGGTGGCTGCTGTCTCACGGTGATTGGCCATATGCCGGCTCACCCCTCACACGTTTCGTGGCCGCAAGGAGCTCCACCGAAGGCCCTCGTGGCTTGGTTCACATGGTGGCCCGCCACACTTCGGCACCGCCATCACACGTTTCGTTGCCCCACAAGGAGCTCCACCGAAAGCTCCCGTGGCTGGGTTCACATGGTGCCCTGTCGCATTTCGGCACACCCGTCACGCGCTTCGTGGCCGCATGGGTAGCTCCACCAAGAGCGCCAGTGGTTGGATTCACATGGTGACCCTCCCCACTTCGGCAGACCCTTCACACGCTTCGTGGCTCCATGGGGATCTCATGGGATCTCCAGCGGATGCCCCAGTGGCTGCGGTCGCATGCGGCCCTGCCCCATTTCGGCACACCTCTCACACGTTCCGTGGCACTACAGGGAGCTCCACCGAAAGCCCCAGCGGCTGCGTCCGCATGATGTCGCCTCGCCCATTTCGCTTCGCCCCTCTAAGTTGAGTGTGGCCGTGCGTTCTCTGTTGAAACGTTGAGGGGTACCGCAAATCCGTCAGTATGTTCATGCGCATTGAGCGGTCCTGCACCTAGACGCCACGCGTCAACATAGGGATTGGGTTCTTAGCCAAGGTCGCTGTTTGGTTGTTCTTGGTGGCGCGTGTTTATTGGTGTTGGCGTCGGCGTGGTTTCGAACATGTCACTCACCCGTCCTCTCCCTATGAGCCCCCTCTTGCTTCAGTACCGTGACCTTTCGGGCTCTCGGATGTCCCTAGTAATAATGCCTTGGAAACTGGACCCTGGGTAAGGATGCCTCTAGTAAGGGATCCAATGAGAAGTCCTTTGTAAGCATACCTGTAGTACGCAATCCTTGTTCGGGATGCTTTTCGTACGGATTCCTTGAAACAGGTTGACTTCGGTAAGGAATTCTGGGTAAGGAGTCCTTCAGTAAGGAGTGTGTCGTGATCTTAAACATCCAGTGGTACTAGGTCCTCGTCTTGAAAAGGCAGCGCCCCGCGTCTCCTTACTCACTCCTCCCCCTTCCTCCCTCCTCCCATCCCTGTCTCTACCCTACGCATATCTCTGTTTTGACATACCGTAATACCCCTCACACGTTTCGTGACCCCGTAAGGAGCTCCACCGAAGGCCCCAGCGGCAGCGTCCGCATGGTGCATCCGCAA